AAAAGATTCATGCCTTATTTGGCATGAAATTTCAGAAAAGGAGGAAACCCTAAACACCGAATTTTTCATGATCCAAAAACAACCAATCTTTCTACCGTTTAATCCTAGAAAAAGCTGAATAAAGCTGTTTACAGCCTGCAAATCAGATCACATGCCAAAAAAAACAAGAAAAATGATAAAAAAATGACAAATTTCAAAAAATCCGTGAAGAACACTGTGCAACACGTGTTCTTCACGGACTCGCCGATTCCGCACAGTGAATCGGCGAGTCACTGTGCGGAATCGTCCGGTTCTCTCTAGAACCGGACGATTTCCGATTTTTAAACCGATCCGATCCCTTTTCGCGATTTTCGAATCGAACCGGGCGAGTCCGGTTCGACTCGACGTTTTTTAAAACGCTGGGTGAACCCATTGATGCTGCTGGCTACTCGATTACCGAAGAGCATACTGTATACTTGTCCAGGAAGGTAGTCACCGTTTTCTTTATTTCACTTTTTTTACTCGAGAACAACGAAGAGTGCATGTTATGCTCCTGCAGGAGCATTATTATGCATTTGTTCCCTCGGTCAAAAAACCACCTAAAAATCACTAGATGATTATTTTTAGGGAATAGTTTATATAGAGCTGAGCCTCTAAACAATCAAATTAGATCTTACTTCAAAAATTTCACTTGAAGAGGTTGTTTTGGTGCCCAAATATCCTCAAATTGATCATCTCGCCATCAAGATGAAGGACATGGGAAAAAAATGGATTTCAACTTTTAGAAATAATGTATTATGTAATGCAGTTTTGGACCATCAATTTTCATAGATCTGTCGATCCACATTATTTCTTAAGCTTTAAACTTTATAAATAACGATGAAAATATAGTTTAAGGCTATCACAAACATTTTCAATATTGAAACTTTGAAGGAAGGCTCTAATTTGATTGAAGAGATCACATATCGAATTTTTTGTGTTTGAAGAGATCACATATCAAATTTTTTGTTTTTGACTAAGGCAAATAACTTTAAGATACATCATTAACATAACACTACAAAAGGCAAAATAAAAGATGCGATCAACATTAACCCCAAGTTTCACTAAATAATCCACCTTGGCCTCCCTATAAACAAGATGAAGAGCAGCCACCGACGTTAATAAATATCCAACCATTGAAATAAATATTTCCTGAAACACCATGGATCACATAGTCTTTGTAGTTGTATAGGCTATACTTGCATCCAATTTCGAAAATGTTCAATGCGTAGTAAAATATTATAAGAAAGTTGTATACACGAGTAGGAGTGTGTGGCTTGGAAGGGAAGAAGTGTTGCATTGTCTTTTCCAGTTTTTGGTTGGTCGAAAAGTCCATGTATCTCGCTCCAAAACCAGATATAAAATAGGAGTCCTGGACAAAAACCAAACGTATCCAGACAAAGTAAAGGTCATAAGCACGTGCATTTGCCAGTATAAATAATTATTAACCCCACCCTTCACTTTTTGAATGAATCAATGAATAAAGACTCTTATCTCTTTTTATATTTGTAAAGGGGGAGGTTTTTATACTTTTTCTTCACCCACGAGTCGTCTAAGTACGGTGGAATAGGTAATTGTGGAGCCACTCTAAGTGATTGGCGGCTCTCAATAAACGAGCATTTGACTTTGAAACCTTTACCCTATTTTTTAGTAAGTATTTTTTCTTTATTCTATTTTTCATTCGACCGCATGCAACTACCGATACCGAAGGCAGGCTAATGCAGGTGCTTCCCGCAAGGGAAGACATACTCCCCGTTCCTCCCGCCTAAGCATTCGACCTCTTTCTCATGGCTTTCTTGCAGCAAAGAGAGAGAGCGCAGCGCGCGAAAGCCTTTGCGGCTTTCTTGCTAGGGGTTTGTTCAAGAAGTCTGATCGTATAGGTCAATAATCATCTCACAAGTAGATGTACACAACTCAAGATGAATTAATTACTGGAATCTTGGTTGGTATTCAATGGGTGGACTACGAGACTCCGTCTGGGAAGTTTCTTGTCGATGAAGCGGATAGTCCAACAAGAGCCTTCCTCATTCCGGAGGGCATTGCTCATTCCCTCTTTGATGGAAGCTCTTTTGTTTGCCCTTTCAATATTCTACCTTTGTTTTTCTTTAGGGCTTGGTTCTTCCACATATTTCAGAGCTTTTCCTAAATAGAGGGGGACATACTGAACCTCCTGGGGAGTGGCCGCTTTCCGTTCAAGTTCATTATGAGAGATTCATTTCTCTGTGTGCAGGTTCATAAATACCATTAAAGAACGCTTGCGTCCAAAAAACACGGGGTTATATTCTCTTATACTTAATAGTAGAAAAAAGAAAGTTTTGCATCCTCAGCAAGAAAGCCGCATAAGCAGCAAAGAGAGAGCGTGCTAGCACGAAAGCCTTTGCGGCTTTCTTGCTCGGCTTTCGCGCTAGCGCGCTCTTCCTTTGCTTCTTTACCCATGTAGTTTAACAGATGGAGACACCTCGAGATGCCTTTGGAAGACTAAAATAAGCGGGTTCGGGGCTGGAACGGACTAATTTTTCTACAATCTTTCTAGTCGCGGCTGCTCCACTCCGCTGCGGTCTCTTGAATTGAATTTCGTTGCCTTCCCGCGCGCGAAGCGAATGGGTGCTGTGCCGTGGGTCAGTTTCGAAGCGGGG